GCTGCAGGAAGGAAACATAACTCAGGGCTGAGACTTCAGGCATTCATTGACTGCAAAAGAATCTCATCCAAGTATTAAAAATTACATTTTTATAACATTTAACATAACATTTAAAATTATGACAGTTTGTCCAATTACTTTTGAGCCATATAAATGGAAAAATATTTATTAAATGACTGTAATTCCTACAGTGAAGCTGAAAGTCTACACGTAAAGGACGTCATCATTTTGTTTTTATTTCAAATCCACCTGTGTAGCTGCTTGTTTTTGAGAAAAACTGGCTAAAAAAAATTAGATTCCTTCACATGGTATGCTATTTGTTCTGAACGCTTTAAAAAAAATATTTAGACACTTCCACAGCGTCTACTTTTAGAAAACTAAGCTGCTGAAGTCAGAAACACGAAACTACGGTGGCCCTGAGAGGCCAAACGGACTGCAACTTAAGAAAACACCAGCAATAAGAAAAATACTGCAAAAGCACACAAAACGACAACGGAAATAGGAAAAAACAAAACAGAAATAGGAAAAACGAAAACAGAAATAGGAAAAAACAGATTTCCAAACGCTCAAGGGAAGTGTTTCTGGGGAGACAATAACCCGACGGACCAGTTGCAGGAACCAAAATATGCTAATTGCGCTGGGAGACACTTAAAAGAAGTGGAGGATCTATCGGTTTTGTGAGAAAAGAAAAGATGAGAGGTAAGTGTGTTAGCCTAAGTATTAGCCTAAAATCCGTCATAAGTATTATATGAATCGTGACAAAACACACCTACCATGTTTTGGGTTCCTGCAACTGGTCCATCGGTTTATTGTCTCCCCAGAAACACTTTCCCTTTTGGAAATCTGTTTTTTCGTATTCCCGTCTTCGTTTGTCCTATTTCCGTTGTGTTTTGTGTGCTTTTACAGCGTTTTTCTTATTGCTGGTGTTTTCTTAAGTTGCAGTCCGTTTAGCCTCTCAGGGCCACCCTACGAAAATACAATGTCCAGCCAAGCAGATGGATTAACAACGACAGTATACCAAGATACACAAACTATGAAGGAATTCACATAGACATAGAATACAAAATGATAACCACATAAACAAATAAGAAAAAACTAATATCACACCTACAAGGAAAGGACAAAGGTGGTTAAAACTGAGAAGTTCGTATATAAAAGACAACAAAGCAAATAATGAATCATCCTTGGATTTGCAGACAGAGACATCTGCTGAAACGATATTTATCTTTCTTATAAATTTTAATCAAAACAACCCCTGATGAAGAAATTATTGCCCAAGTAGAGTGGAGATATTTTAGCATATTCTTTCACTGTCACATCTTTAGAGTTCATGTTGTGATATTTTTCATTTCTTTTAAGGCTGTCAGCATGCCAAGGCAAATAATGAACCAGGCAAGCTGAACAAATTTAAAACAAAAAATAATGCTGAAGTTTTCTTTTCTTGCTACTTTTCTAGCTAGACTGAAAAAGAAGTCAATCATTTATCTTAACATTACCACACATTATAACCGTCGGTTGTGTTTTTCTTCCAGGTCGAAGGGGTGTCACCCTCGGTAAACCAGACATCAAGGTAGAAACGGTGAACAAAGAAACTCACAGCCTGGAGGAGGAGGCGGCCAACGTCTCCACAGCAACCCGGATGGTCAAGGCTATGTACTCTGTGAGTAGACTCCCATCTGAGTCACCGGGGGCCGTGGAGAGGAGGCGTATGGGTCAATGGCCTTAAATGTACAGATACACTGACACTAAAGGCGACTTGGCAGGAGAGGCACACACAGACATTCTCACACTCACACAATGGGAACAAAGACACACGCACAAGGCCTCACTAAAGACACACTAAAAACACAAATCCATAAAAAAGATGTCAAAGTATATGCGCGCACACACTCGACTCAAAATCAATAAAGCACAATGAAGCATGTGTACAGACATATATGAGGAGAAACAAGGACAAGACATAGATACAGGAGAAAAACTAAATGAGGGAAAAAATACACAGTTTTTCCTCAATGCACACATCTTTGTGCACACAAAAAACACAGAAATAATAAACAAATATACAGACACACACTCATTTTAACATTTTGTTCCTTTTAGAGGAGAATTCAACCCCGGAAGTCCTGGAGAATCTAATCGACGCAGCTCCTCTGACGCGGTTTTAAAGCTCGGGCAAAAACACCTTTTTCTCCAACAACTAACCGTTTCTCGTCTTCCGGTCTCATGGGATTCAAAACCTGAAACTCTGTTTTCCTCTCCCCTCCCTCTCTTCTTCCTCCTTTCCTTTTTCACCCTCCCTCTTTCCGTGTGTGTGTTTCGTTGTTTGATGGTTTAGTTTCTGCCCTCTGTTTCCCTCTCTCCCTCCACTCAGCCATTCAAAGATGACATGGACCTGAAGCAGGACGTCAGAAGCGAGAGTGACACCCGGGAGGAGTACGAGCTCAAGGTGAGATGAGTCAGCGAAGATATGTTAGCATGCTCGCGCTGGATTAAAAAAAAACACTTATCTAGAGCATCACTGGACATTTGGCATGGTGCATGAGATTTGTGATCATGTTCTTCAGGTCCTGCTGTACTTTTTCCTGTGGCTTTACATCACAGTTAAAGCAACTTTTTCTGTAGTGCCTTTTTTTGAGTGTGAGTGTCCTGGCATAGAAACCTCCACTATCTGTATCTGAGTTCACTTATAGAGTCTGATGATCAGGTATCTCTTGAAAAGGCCAGAATTCTGTATTCTTAGGCAGCTCGACCCTACTGTGATTGGCACACGGCTGCAAATAACATAGTTTTAACTTTTCTAGACTAAATAAGTAAAAGACAATAAATAAACAATGCAAGTGTTTCAGTTTCTTCACCAGTAATGTAGCATATTTAACTTGATTACTTCTTGATTACTTTC